CGAAGATCCTGAACCTTAATGAAATTATTGCGCACGTTGTCGTAATTGGTATATCATGGAAGATAATGATGGTCTTTTGTAATTAACCAGTTCCGTCTCAGGATGCTACTCATTAAACTAGGTTTTAGGTTTGCAGTGGCCTTTTTGATGGGTAGGTAGCCTACAAGCTGAAGTGGTGTAGTGGCATGTGGCTCACTACTACACACGCATGGTCACGTGTTAGAATCCCGGGTCGATGTCCGCATAAACCAACCAAGCCATTCCTCCTCGATCGGTCAATTAGTAATAGTAATTAGTATCAATTAGTAATTAGTATCGAACAGTCAGATTTCGTTCTACTCCTTAGTAAGCTCAGCATAATAAGTCGAAACACTAACATCTTATGTGTCGTGTACAGTAACACTTTTGCCACATCTGAATGTCTCTGATGGAGAATCTCGTAGAGATTAAAGTGTCACTTCACTTGCACAAAGACATTTCATACTATTATAAAACTACTCAACTCCATATGTCGAAATCGATAGGAGGTATCAAATACTTATTTGCAGGGGACCAATTACTACTGGTGAACTTCCCCCATCGTTGTTCTTCTGAGCAGACTGTGACTTACCCGCATGCGAATGCGTCTGTTATAAATGGAAATCTCCATGATGATCCCTCTACGTTTCGTTGAATTCGTTCGATACAATAGAGGCAAGTATCAACAATCAACTGTAATTTCAATTGAGCTTGCTAAGCCTCTAGAGGAGGGGGTTTCGCTTCAAGAAAATGCCCAAGAATGCAAAAAAAACTCAGAAATCCAATATCGTCATTTTACCTGCAGAACAAATGCTTCTACTATTCAAGTTCAAAAGGGCACCTCGATGTTATCTTGCACTGTGCCTTTAAAGAAACTTTTGCTCTAAGAGAAGAATTCTACTCAAGGAATTCGCCTTTTACCTCGAAATTGCTCATTTGATGCCCAGCGAGTGAATTAAGGCTGTGAGTATCTCTCCGTATCTTCGTATGAGCCAGGGTGTAGCCGCATATATTAGCCTCCGTACCATCCAAGTATCACGTTTTTTTTTTCTCTGAAAAGCTGTTCCCTCGTTCTGACAGCATGAAATGGAAGTTGATGGTTCTCTGAAAAGCTGTTCCCTCGTTCTGACAGCATGAAATGGAAGTTGATGGTGGTTATTCAATGGTCCCATTGAAGGTAGATCGTCTAACTCTGGAATATCCTGTTTCTATCCTCAATTTCCTTTGGAAGATCTTCGTCTTTAACTATTCACTGCTGTCGAATGGTGAGTCTCAATTTCAAAAGAGTAATCACAGCAAACCCTCTAAAAGCTCTGCCTCTGTCACGCCTACCTTTCAACAGCCTTGCGCATGATGGTTTTTGTTACAAAACAGAAAGGATACCAAACACATGAGTTGACACTTTGTTTATTATTTTCAGTTTATCAGGGACCAAGCAGTTCGTGTTTCTCTAAGATAGCGTACTGCAACAAGGATGTCTTCGTTCCAACTTGACCCCCAGACCCCTCCTTAATCGCTTTTCCATTATGGAACAGCTGTTTTTCTGCATAATAAGTGGCTAACTTGCCAGCGAATAGACGAACTTTTAGTTTTTGCTTGTTGTAGGCAAATTCGTCAAGAAAGAAAACATTAGCTACGAGTTAAATTGATTATGGAGAAGTTCATGGCCAAATGGCTTCGAATTAAAATTAGGCCTGTAACAATCCTTGATGTCGTCAAGTCCATAACAACCCTGAGACTGGTAGTAGCTAGTTCCTCTTTTCTTGTTTTCTGGTGTAATATTGTCGTAAGAAGATTCTCCGTTGAGAGAGACGTTAGATTAATTACTGGACTAGAAACAAAAGTGAGAATTCGTGTGATTCAATCAGAGCCCGTACACGTAAAGAGGGGGAGACGAGCGTTAGGAACGATTTTGGGTAATCGATTTGCCGCACGCGGCTGTTGCGGACCACTCATTCGCCGTTATTACAGCTCTAGCGTTCTTCATGCAGCTCAATCGATATGCGATCAGTATTTTAAGCATAATTCTACTATTAGTACTTTTGTTCTTGTATTTCTTACCTACTGCTGCATCTGCTACATTCATTCACGCGCGACGCCCCTCTCACCGCGACGCTACCATTTCGTTCCTAACGCACCACACCCGTAAAGAGGATTCCGCTGTATTCCGCAAGCGCTCAGTTGGTAAATCCCAAGAGCAACTCAGGATAGACGTCCATCCCGCTTTATGCGACCCCATTTCCTTCGTCTGAAGTTTGACATTAATATGTAATAATTTCTTCAGCTTCACCAGATACAGTTGTAAAGATGGAAGTACAGACAAAAGGAGCTATAAGAAATCGAAATAATGAAAAATGTTTTTAACCGATCGAAGTTCGCAAATCCTAATACATTATTTTGTGAAAGATAAACGTATATCCACTTACGAACTAAGATAACACAAACTGACAAAGAAAAAAAACCAAGTAAATAAAACGATGACGTTTCAAACCGAATGAAAAAGGACATCACGGAAAGAACATAGGTGGATTTCATAAAATAGTTGGATGGGAGCTCATCTTCTTTTGTTGTACTTGTTTCTACCCCCACGCCCACGCGACGACTTGAGACCGCGACCGTGCGCCAAATCTTCCTCTCTAACGAAATTGTCGGAATCTTCATCACCTGAAATCATACCAAAAAATACTCCAAAATCATAAACCATAACTGACAAAGATCTAAAAACAATCAACGATCTCTACTACAAAGTGGTACAGTTTGCTTCGAGGATAGTCATAGTTTGAATTGATATGCAGGATTGCGAGTTGGGAAGTCAGGTTGAATAAAATTATTCAATGACCGCAACGAACTCAATCCAGTCTTGTCATTTTCTCCCCGATTGACCCTTTTGAAGCACGATGACATCCGAATGAGTTTCGCTCTTATTTCTGTGTTTCAAATTGAATTTTAGATCATGACAGGGTTCCGGTTTAGGGTATTCAGATAAGTTCTAGTTACAAATAATTTTACATTGAATGAGTCAATGGCACACTTCACGATGCCTTGATGCCTTTTTAAGTCGAAGCAAAAATATTGGTCGGTAGGGCATCGGTGACAAAGAAAACGAGGAAAAAAGGGATCAGCGAAAAAGATGGCTTCCTGAGTAGTGAGAATAGAAGTTGTACGAAATTACTAAGCGGAAATGCTATGGAAGGGGTCTTCAGACAAGGTTTCAGTTGTTGCAATTACGTAAAAGGCTGAATAAGCCAAAAATTGTCTAAAACTGCCTTCCACTGTCGCAGTGGATCATGCCAACCTGTTTGAACTTCCTACATGGGTGTCCCTTGTGAAGGGTGCAGCATCTACGCTTCTTCAACCTTGCACCACTAACTCGACTGAACACAAAGACTCGCCCGCGGTGAAGTGGGACATAGAAAATCATGGGAGAAAACATGTTATACCAACATAATGGGTAGTGAGAAAAATGTCGGCCGAGAATTTCATAACAGTCAAGATTTCTTTTGGAATCTGCAAGGTACCAAAACTATAAAAAACGCAGTTTAATTGTATGCACACAATATATCAAGATATTTAATGATCGCCATCGATGGAGGTTACCAGATTTAGGTCCTATTCGACCTTTCTGCTATAGGTTGCAGAACGTCAGAACGAGATGAACAGAACCAATCGAAAGAGACTTCAACTCAAAATTCTTGAAAGAAGTTCCAAAGAGTCAAGCAGCGGTGTGACCAGATTTGAAATCTTCGAAAAGTACGTATTGAATGTTGAATCGTGTGGACAGTTTGGTGAATTGATTAAATAAGCAAGACAGTTGTAGTCGTCTGTGCTATGTGTACACGTGGGGGAACTTCCTTGTATAGCCTCAGGTAAGCACCCAAGAAATCCTAGAAGAAGTCTGGACTACAACGAACGAGAGCTCTTACTAGGCAGCTACCTTGTTTTATACACTATCATCCACTTTCTGAGTTGTTCATTGGGTTGCCAACAATTAAATGGTAACTTCAACATAGTTTAGTTTCAAATCGCATTCTTTTGTACGTAGCTGTTGTAGCTGGATTGATCTTGCTAATCGAACAGAATGTCGGTAACTTCCTGGCATATTTAATTAATGAATAATGAAACAGGGATTTGAACTTCCCTGATGCAATCAGTACAGGGCGGCAGATAATCTTGATTACAAGTCATAATTGAAGCAAATGCTTAGTAACTCGACGAGCTAGATTCCGATATACTAGTTCAAGATGCCTTCATGGGGGTTTCGTTACAGCATCTTCCAAAGCTAAAAATGAAATGAGACCTCTTTAAAAAGAAATGGGAAGGTCTCACTTCATTTTTAGCTTTGAAATGATGCGAGAACGAAACAATTACGGAAGCATCGTGAACTACAAAGGAGCTTCGAAAGATGCTTTGCACAAATTTCGATTCCCTTTCCAAACTAAATGATGTGATGGACAGATCAACAACTATCATAAAAGGGTGCAGTGATATGGTAGAAATTCTCCGAACAAACAAGAGGTTTAATATTCTACAGCAAGATTACTTTTTTGGGACTGAATGCCCTCTGTGATTTTAGAAGCACTACAAACAAAACGTTCCCCTGATACATCCTTCTTTCAACCATTCTTTGATAGATCCTTCTTACACAAAGAGACTAGTGTAAAACGGGATACCGCAGCCCTCCTCAAACATTGGTGCATAAGTCTTCCTACACCCCAATCCCGAGCACTGCCCATGTACCAGGGTAGAGTGTACCCGAATAACTCAAGAGTTGCCGGTGCGGAGCCCTGTTTGAGTTCAGTAGAAAGGATTCGTTAAAATTTCCGTTTCTCGGCCCCTTATTTATACAATCATAACCCCTAAAGCGCGAATTGAAAAGACATATCATGTTGCATTTGAAAACAATGCCTCCAGAGAATTTGCAGAGCAAGTTCAAAAGCTTCGAGCTTCGAATCTAGAGAAAGGACCTGACTGATGGTATTGCTCTACGGCCAATGAATTGGAAGAACTTTCAAGTCATGAAAGCGAATCCGAAAGCTGTCCGGCGAAATGTATCTTTGAACGCCTGCTAAAGTGATGGCTGTTTCTCAGTTATTATATTATACAACTCTGTTGTCTCCTACTTGGCAAAAAGGAATACAATGAGGTAGCTCTGAAACACAACAAAGAGCGTAATACTTACAAGGAGGACTCTGTAAAATACTGTGAATGCGCTGTGATTTCGAAAAGTCAAACTCGCCCGAATGTCTAATGCCCAAGCTATGGCTTGACACAACACGCATCTTTTATCACAGGAAGAGTTTACTCCATCTCGTCAGAAAGTTGTCATCAACAGTCTCACTTCCAAACCACACTGCATGCACGTCACTGGTCACAATAAGCTGCTTATTAAATTATCTCAATGGTTCATATCCTCTTGGTAAACGCACCTCTGACAAGGTCACGTGTTGAGAAATCAATACAGATGAAAAATTGAGAACGAACATAGGGGAATGAAACTGGTTAGAAGCAAACCATATCTTCAAACGCCAGTGTCCAATACACGGTACTTTTCTTTTTGACAGATGGTCGTGATTAAATGTGTGTAGAGTTTTCACGTGATTCTGAGAACTACTATCGTTGCGCAACTTACTATCGCTTCCTTCCTCTTCCTCCTCTTCGCTCTCCTCTTCACTTTCATCACTACCGCTTGAAGGCATGTTGTTGTCTTCCTCCTCTCCTTCATCATCTCCAGATTCCGCCCCAAGATCCCCTGAAAGAAAGACCTTGTTAGGAACGAATTTGATGTTATTTAAGCCACCAACAAGTTTCCAAAACTTACTGAATTCAATCTCTCCCTCTTCCTGCTCATCGTTCTCATTGATCTTTGCGTGTTCAGGCAACTCATTCTTCTCCTTCAATCGCCGCGCCTCGTCAGGTGTATACTTGAGAATAACATCTCCCTATACTCATACTATTAGAATGTGAGAGAGACAGCGTGAAAGTCATCCCTTTTTCCTAAGTGGGCACGTAAATACATACCTTGTCGTCTTGATAGTCCCTGAGACCAACAAGAATTATATCGCCAGTGTTAATCCACACCTTCTTCCTCAATTTTCCTCTTATGTGGCAAACTCTTTGCTTACCATCGAAACAGAAAGCTAATACGCGACCATTTCCGAGCATTTTAGAAACTTGACCATATTCTAGAAACATTATGGAACAATAATACAAATCGAGGCATATTAGAACAAGAAAATGATAAGAATAACAGACCTTGTCCAACATCTTTTGTATCAAGTTCCCTTTTCATGAAATCGTTTTCATTCTTTCCTCTTCTCCTATTTTTACCTCCCTTACCCTTGTTCTTCGGCATATCTGATTATCGAAAGTATAAACATTACATTAGGGAACACTAAGAAACGAAGCGAATATGAAGCTCAGCACGGAAATACATATAAGAGCAACACTCAACAAACATACTATTAGAACTACAGAACTACAAGGCAAACGCACTTATTGACCAAACTACGACATAAAAACAAATCAGCAATGTCATCATTTCTGGGTGAAGGTTTCGAAAACAATCTCGACTTTCTCTTGGCGACATTAATCAACAAAACGAATTTCGCAGTCCGAGAATACTTACACAGTAGCCTAATTTGCTATAGGGCTAGAGAGTTGCATTGGAGCGCAACAAGCGTAGTCCTTTAACCCGGTCAGCAGATGAATTGGTGGGAAACTTTTAACATTTTCTCTATCACAAAGAAGTTCGGCAGTGTTATTGGGTATAATAAAATCCATGTAAACTACAAAGACTGCGTAACTAAATATATCACCTACTACCGCTCTCACAAAGAGCAAGTTTTAAGCATTGAGGGCCCAGATAATCTGGAAGAAGTAGGCGAGAACAGGAAGAATCAAGAAAAACTAATTGAATAACTAATTCAAATTGAAAGCGGGTTTAACAGCTGGCAAGTGTATGACATTTAAAGATCGTAATGTAGGGGGACAAGGGGAAGCAATAGCAAGCATATTGCTGGAAGAAACTTCAACACAAATTTTCGATCAATCTTCAAAAGGAGTCTCAATAAAAAGTTTTGAAAATTGCAAAATGCACTTTCTCTCATAGCCAGAAGCGCTTAAGTGAAATTAAGTGCTGATATTGGACGTGTTTATAAGCACAAAGTTCAGGATGGATAAGGAAGAATCACCCCACGCACTGATACCAACGAGTGCGAACTTTGGAAATCCTTCGTTGCTATGAGTCAGAATGGTGAAATCGGAACAGACATTACCCATTATCAGAAGAAGAAACAACGAACTTGGGTGATCCTTTGCATTTACCTTTATAACTACTCCACGGTGAGGTTCAGTAGAAGCTCGATTCCCAGGGTAGCAACACTGCTTAGGGTGGGTAACGAATGCCCCAAAACGATGATCGTGAGCAAGGCACTTGTAGCCGTGGAGCGCCTAATTCTCCCTGAAGCATCTTTCTCGTAGGGGTTACAAGACAGATTTAAACATCTCGTTGGTGAGTTTCGTGACTACTTGAACTTTCTTTGCGCCCCTGACGACAAGGGATTAAAGTGTAGAAAAAATACTTGCGTGAGGTCCATGAGGGGAGAGGCAGTAGGTTCTCATCAGTCAGTCAAGCAGTTCAAAGAGTGATGATTTAACGGGAGTAGAAATTGGGCGCAGCCGGCACATTTCAAAGGGCCGAATTCAAGTAGTCCGTTGACCGAGTACTATAGCCTCTTTAACGTCATGAAAACTCGTCCGCCTTTGGGTGGCTGAGCCGGTTGTGGTCCACGTTCTACACTATCTAGACTGTTTTTCGACCCGACAGCGTCATTTTGTTATCCTTGGGAGGTCACAAGTCAATCCTGGGGAGAAACCTCAGAAATCGTTTTCGTCGTGAAAGGTGCCCTCAATTTCTAGTTTACCAATGTTTTGGAAGGGACAAGATAGCCCTAACGAATAGCACAAACTCCAGAACAATGTGGGAAGTTCCAAAGTTATGATTCTTAGGCAGAACTTCGACCTAAGGCAACTCCGGCCTGCACCCGCCTTTCCGAGCCTATGTGTTTTGCTTAACTCGGGATGAACCGCGGTCGATAACGTGGAGCATTGGGTTGTGGTAGTGTGAACCCTCTGGTAGTGTTTGATTTGAAATGAAGCTCTTTGTCAACTGCTGCTTGGTACGGTTTTCGCGGAACTATTCACAAATTTTCTCTATTATGGACGAAACTTCCCTAAACTTTGTCCGAGCTCCGAGACTACTGCAAATATATTTGGTCCATCTCAACAGAAAGGTACTGAAACGATGCTGCGTGTGCGAAGACCTCTAATGGGGAAGCTACCAAAGGGTGAACCACATCGGCAAAAGAAGTTGGCAGCTGGGTTATGCACGCTATCGCTTGCATTACATTTCTACAACCTGTTTACGATCTTGCTCAAGAAACATATATAAACACCAAATGGGCTATGCACGCTATCGCTTGCGTCACATGCCCACTCCTTCTTACGTACGACTTGTTAGAGGACCGATAAAAACAATACCGGGAGGCTTTCGATTTCATAACTGCTTCCGCATCGCGCTCACGTGACATTCCCACTCCTCCTCGTGCCTACTGACTTTTGCAAGGACGCACAACCGACATACAAGCGGACACACAAAGTTACCGCTTTATGTATGGAGAGGTTTCTCATGCTCTGTATCCCAAAATGAGAACGATTTAAACATCCCGTGAACGCTTGACACAGTAGCCCCTAGGTAGTACCTACCACCCATCCCCGTCGGCTTCAACCGGGGTACCTTTGCTTTGCGTCGTATACGTGACGGGTGTTTGGAGGCGCTTCAGCGTGTGTTCGGGTTACTGTGTCACGCATTCACGGGACGATTAAATCCGTTTTGTTATTCCGCAACGTAATACACACGATAGTGCTTCACTAAAGAGTCGATTTAGGCCTTATCTCTGAAACCATGCATCTGGAATGAAGTACTTGAAGATAAAGGGTTTATTCAAGTATGTAGCCGTCATGAACATTTGCATCTAACATTTCGCTTGAATTTGATAGGAATTCGCGCATAAGAAATTTAACGCGGATAGAAACAGTCAGCCGGGTGTTCGATGATGTCTGTTGCCAGCTGTGCCAAGTTTCCCTATCTCTCCTCTTTTATGAAGGTTTGATCGCCCTATGATTGAAAAGAGCATTGCAGAAATTGTGTAGGCTAAATACATGCCACTTGTCATAAAAAAAGAAGGCGAAGTTTTTGTTAAAAATATTCATTTTATTCAATTTTATGATGAGAAGGGTGTTCGAAGGTAACGTCTTCCGGAGAATCCCCTTCTTTGTAGTTCCCTCATTTATGGTCAATAAAACGATCGTTTGGCCGAAAAAGATGATTTTGGTGGAAAAATTCAGCTTCGGCATAGATTGCGCCATGCAGCCATCTGAGCAATATTATGGAAGTGATTCAAAGCTCCTGCTTCGCTTCCTGCTGTGTTGCCTCTAGGGCAGTACTGAGGTCCAAAACATTGTTCTCGAACTCTCCTTGACTTAGGCAGTGGGGACAACGATTCTAAAAGCAAATGTATCGCTTAGAGCTCGAGTGATTCTCTTTTCTCTCTCTTGAGAGGAAAACCTCACTTTTGAATGGGCATCGTCTCCGTCAGAGTCGAAGTAGCAGCCTGCGGTGGACAAACTGGATTCCGACTCGCTCGAAAAGGGCACATCAAAACGTTTCAGGTGAGAATCAAAATGGTGCCTTTCGTTATGATTGGATATTCTGCAGTCGGTATCAATGTAACGCCATTTAAAAACAAGGAAGAATTAAAACAAAAACTAGAAAATTACAGAACATGATGGTGTAGTATGGCTATGGCAGAAGGAAGAAATTCGGGCTCGCCCTGCACCCATCCTCGTCTTCTAGGCCAGACGCCAACAGCGACAAATCAGAATTCGATGGACATGTTTAAGACAGAGTAACAGAAGCCAACCCATAAAACGGTCACAGGAATTCGAGTTGAGTGACATAAATCATAAAGCGAACGCTCCCTCTTCAGATCCTTCAGAAATAAAAAATAATGATGGATAAAATTGAACAAACCAAAAGAAACCGGCAAGAAGGAAAATATTTTGGACGTATTTGGAAAATAGCTCGATGTCTCCTTAACAAGGAATTCTATTATAAGAAAAGCTCCAAAAGGGCTGCTGTTCCTGCTGCGCTCTGAACAATGAAAGAGTTAAAAGCAATGAAGGTTGGTAGGGGTTCCACATTCGAATGTTCTAACGATCACCTCACCTGCCACCTGTCGTCCCGTTGATCATCGATTTTCTCGAGCGGGTGCAAGTAACGTCTCCATTCGTCCCTGAAACGAGCCAGAATGGTCCAGTGAACCGCAATCGCTTCGGGACACGAGGTTCAACATTCAACATTCCAGAGCTTCCGTGAAGAAGTCTGACCATCTCGCTGTCGGCCGTACTGGAATTCGCCTGATGTCTCGAGGGATCCAGTCAGTATGATTTTCGATTTTTGGCGTAGTCAACGGCATCTCTGATCTTCGTTCGATGACGGAGCTTGGAACTCCGGACTTCCCTTCTGCACTTGCATGTATAAGGGAATTCCGAGCATCGCCCTTTCCACAAAGCGCTGAATGACGCTGACAGCATCCTCATCCTGCTTTTGTAGAGTCCAAGTCTCCGAGGCGTACGTCAAAGCAGGAAGGACAGCAGTGTCGAAAAGGTGAGCGCGAAGCCGGATGTTCTTTGTCTTCTTCACTACTCCCTCGATATCTTAAATGCCCCCACGCGGCGCACATTCCTTCAGCACAGCTCTAGAGTTAGGTCGTTCATCATGCTGACTTCCCGACGTAGCGGCACATAGCTAGAGCATTCGGAGATATTCTTTCCGTTTAGCGTGAAAAGAGCACCAGGTACCAATCCGTTCTTCGTGAACATCGTCTTCGTTAAATTCAGTCTGAGGCCGATCTTGTCGACCACTGTCAAACTCGGCTAGAACTCGTTCCGCCTGCTCGATATTCGGTGTTACAATTTCGTCTGCAAAGCGGAGGTGATGTAGGAAGCGGCCGTCGACCTTCACTCCCAAATCTTCCCATTCCATATGAGGCATGATGTTCTCGATAGGGGCACTGAAAGTTTGGGCGAAATGGTATCGCCCTGCCGGACACTTCTCTTCGCGTTGATAATGACTTCATCGTAGAATGGTGAAATCCTGGCCGTGAAGTTGTCGTAGAGCTCACGAAGCATCCTTATATATTGAGTAGGAACGCCCTGGTTGCCCTGGGCTTCAGTTACTGCTCCTGTCTCAACGGTGTCGAAGGCTCTCTTGAAATGGGTGAATGTAAGACATAAGGCATTCTGTACCCTCGTGGTACTTCAATGAGTCTTGTAAGAGTGAGAATATTGTACTGAGCTCTCTCCGAAAGCCTGCTTGCTCGCATGGCTGTCCCTCATCTAATATTCTGCCGATCGTGTTCAGGAAGACACGAGTGAAAAGATTGTACATTACAGGCAGCAGGCAGATTGGGCGATAATTGCCAATGCCGTCTGGATCTCCCTTTTTATACAGCAACACAGTCTTGCTAATTTTCCACGACGTGGGCACTTCGCATTCCGACAGGTACCTCGTGAAGAGCCTAGCCAGAGTTCCGATGATGAGTGGTGGAAGAATTTTCAGATGTTCTGATTTCATCCTATCAGGACCAGGCGCCGTACAGTTCTTCATCGACATGATGGCATTTTGTATTTCGGAAAGGAGAACCAAAGAGCGATATATTCGTCTTGCCTAGCGTGGGTAGGCAGGTAGACGTGGCTGTCGAAGAGATCTGAGTAGAAGTCGTAGATAACCTTCCCTATTGCCCTTCGAGATGCAGTGACTGTTCCATCAGGACGACGAAACGAAGTCATCTTGGTCTTGTAACTGGCGAAGCTTGGTCAGGCTTTGCGAATGCTCTTTCCAGCCTCGGCGGCTTCGTCAATAACTGCTGCTCTTCTCTCTTTCAGTTCTTCCTTTATCGCTTCTCTGCATAGCTTCAGCAAGTTCGAACGTCTGTTGATGATTGCCTGTGGCTCGATTACAAGCCGACGTATCAGCTCGAGAGTCTTCGAAGAGCCACTCTCTGCTTTCCTAGCGCTATCGTGAAGATGTTCAACGAGCCGATTGTATTCTTCATCGATGCTGTCGATAACGGAATCTTCCCATTTACTCGAAAGGGAAGCGAAGTGGTCCCAGTCGATGGTGGTCTTGGAGCTTCGTTTCCTAAACTTCATAGCTCTCTCCCCACGCACTGAGAAGCAGAATCTAGCGCGGAGGAGACGATGGTCCGATTCCATGTAGAACATCGGAACAACAGCGACGTCAGTCAGGCAAAATCTCCGATTGAAGATGATGTGGTCTATTTCATTATGGAACTGTCCACCAGGTGACTTCCATACCATCGTAAATGAGAGGACTTATGGAATTACGAGTTACCATGGATGGTGTGCGTTGACATAATAAACTCGGACAGCCTTTCACCCTGCTTCCCTGCTCATTCCATTCCATTCCGCGAGTCCCGATGTGGAGCTCTTCAGCCGTTTTTCTGGGGCCAATCTTGGCGTTAAAATCACCGACGATGACCTTGAAGAAAGTGTGGTCTTCTCTGTAGAGCCTCTCCAGGTCCATATAAAGCGCCTCCAACTCTTCTTCGTAGCTTGCTGTTGGTGCGTAGGCGATGGTTAGAGATGGGTTTGAGTCACATCTTTTTAATCGCAAACGTCCGATTCGGGTTGTTAAGCTTCCGTACGAATCAATGTTCATGGCCAAGTGCGCATTGACGAGGAAACCTACGCCGTCGATGCCTCTGCTGCCGCATGTTCCAAGGAACAGTTCTTCTACAGTCTCAAATACAGCGTGCAGCGGGCGATGCCTTCCCGTCNCAAAGGCCGTTTTAGGTTCTCTATTAAAAAAATGAGGCCTTCGATCCCGACAGGATCTGTGCCACTATTTACTGCAGATCCTCTTCTAAACATTCCATGAACGAGCCGTTCTTGAATATTCCATTTTACAGAATGGTGAAGAGCAAAGTCCAACAAACCTCCATCCTGCACCTCCATCTGGCTGGATGCACGTCAATGATCATCTTCAAACAGCTCCAGATTTCCTTAAGAACCGTGTACAACTATCTCACAGGTACAAGACGGCAGGAGCTATGGAGGACAAGCCCAAAAGTTGAAGACTGAAGAGTGTAACGACAAAGGAGAAAAGTCATTCGAGAGAAAATCCGCCGCCACCCTCGTAGGTCCGAGAAAAAAATGGCTCCTAAGGTGGGTGTTTCTGTTCGATCTGTTGGAAGGATTGTCACCAGCCACCTTCGACCTTGCTCTTATAAGATCAGGAAAGCTCACATGCTGACTGAGCGTGTGAAGAAAACTGGGCTAGTAAGATGTAAGGAGATTTTAAAGCGATTTTCGCAGGCACGACACAGCACAATCCTTCTCACTGACGAATGTCTGTTTTCAACAGATCAATTCCTGAGCACGCAAAAAGATGGGGTGATAGCGGGAAGCCCTGCAGAAGCCAGCCGACATGGAGGGATTGCTCAGCGATCTGTACACAACAACTCTCTATGGATTTTGGGGCAATCACATCGGACGGCAAGTGCCCCCGATTTTCTTTGAGAAAGGGGTCAGGGTGGATAGCAAGACCTACTTAAAAGGCGTGTTGGAGAAGGAGTTACTCCCTCCTGGCAAAAACTCTTTCGGCAATAGAACATGGACTTATCAGCAGGACCCAACTCCAGCACACAAGTCCGAAGTGGTACAGGACTGGTGCGGAACGCACTTCCCAGACGTCATTTCGTAGGACGATTGGCCCCCAAACAGTCCAGTCCCAAATCCATTGGACCATTCCGTGCGGTCGGTTCTTGAGACGAAAGCCTGCTCTACTAAGCATAGAAGTTTGGATGCTCCACGTGCAACCCCCGTTGAAGCATGGGAGGATTGGAGCGAAGGCTACCTCCGTGCCGCCGTCGACGCATCTCCTAGGAGAATTTCAGCCTGTATTCGCGCAAAAGGAGGCCATTTCCAGATCTAGGTTGTTTTTGTGAACTATAGCTGTTGATAAATGCTGCTAGTGTAGTATCATGAATCGATCGATTTGACCATTTTTACGATCATATTTACCATTGCCAGAACTTTTGCCGCACCCTGTACGGATCGCCATCTTAGTCCTTCTCCTGTTGGGCAGCCCGTTTTGGCCCTGAGATTTAAGCAGCCTCCCCCGAGGTCCTACCCAACGCTGCCGTATTGGGGGCTCCCTCAGCGTCAGGGGAATGAGGCCCATTTCTATTACTTTTTTTGCGTGTAGATACCCAATGTGCAGCTTGCCATACTCTGACGTGGGGACTAGGTTGACTCCGAGGGCTTTCCAGGCTATCCCGAAGTGGACGAGGGGCTTTGTTTTTGGAGGCGGCCCCGAATCACCTCCCACATACTTCTCAATCTTTCGAATGCAAGCTTTTGGCCGAGTTGATGGCCAGGATACCAACTGCATCAACAGACTCTCCACACACGTATGCGTGGATACGCCTGCTAGAAACAGAGGGTATATCGACACAGCACAGCAGAATTAAGAGTCCATCTCCTGAATCCACCTGCGTCTCTGGGCAAGTACCGGTGACATTTTTTCGGCCATTAACTCCCCTATCCGCCACGCGGGGACGCCCTGAGTAGCCTCGCCACTAACTGGCTGGGGATCTTCCAATGAAGTGACCCAACTGGTTCGCTATCACTGTGTCTGCAGAAGAATTCCAGCTGAGAAGCAGTATTACACGACAAGTAGTACGATGCCAGATGCCTTTAGCTGCTGCAGGATCAAATTGACTGCACTGAACGAGCAACTAATTGAGTCAAGATTTGGGCCACTTATCTCAATCTAATAGGAACAATTCAGTTCAATACCACGAAATCAACTGCGTTCGCCATATTCGCAGTTGGACAGGTGTAGTAAGGAATCAAGAAAGACATCAACCTTGCTTTCGACCTTTCCTTATTTGGAGAAGGCGTTTGAACGCCTAACACAACCAGTGCTCTGGGATGCGCTCAAAGAACGAAACACTCATTTCATCGGTAAAAGGCTCGTAGGAGAGGTATAAGGAAATTATACGCACCTCTCGCTCGAACACACAGTCCACCATAACCTGACGTCCCCACTTTAAGTGGAATAATGGTAGTTGTGGTTATAATACTGTCAATTAATCACGTGCAATATCGTATTTTTTGGAGCAGCACGCCTCTGCAACGTTGGCGAGGTCGGCATTGCCAAACATTTCTGCGTGCTCAGGGTCCAAGCAGAACATTTTAACTATTTGGTCCACGCATGGCTGAAATAGATGAAGTCACAAAGAAATAAATTTATACTTCAAAAAGGGACCGATCTTTTCTCTGAATGCGCCAGGAACTTTATACTCACATGGAATACCAGTGATATGGGTACTGATATGAGTACTAAAATGGCTCATATAAATGAGTGTTGATGTACTTAACAACTTGTGAAGAGCATCTAAATATTGGCTGCGTCTGTCTGTCTGTTTGTTTCTTTGTTTGTTTGCTTGCTTCCTTGTAAGAAGGAGGTCCGGGATGAGTAAGTCAATTGGAGGTTCAATTCTCACCTCATCCCAATTTCTTTGCACACGATAATTATCTCACTCACTCCAGAGTTCCTCCCCTTCTAAAAGTTGGGTATAAACAATATACTTTTGGCTAAAAACCATCTCTGAGCACCAGTAGGGAAGTAAGGTTGGCTACCGCGCCTTATCTGCGCTCTGGCCTCCAGTGATTTAAAAGGGCGCTGATCATCCATCCTCCCCCTTCCCAACTACATTTTCACTCAAACCATGTACCATGAAGTCATGCCCATGAGAATAAGCTTATTGAATGCGACATCCAACGATCAGTCATCAGTGGAAGACTACGGTAGTTGCGTTTGTACGCAATTGCAGACTACAGCCGTGAGTGAAAATAGTGAAAATAATAAGCATACGCACAACTTTCGTTAAGCTTCACTGGATTTTTACCCGGTTCTACAGACCCCCTAATGTGTTAGCGCTTGATTTAAACTAGTAATAACTCATCAAGCATATGAATGCATGACTAGTCTCTTGTTCACGGCTTTGTATTTCACGATCTCTATGACTCTAGCCATCCCGAACAACCTCCAGCAACTTTTTGTATCGAATGTGTTCCTCAGAAATTTGTAAACCAGTGAAGGACCTTCTCATCAGTTTACAATTTGCTTTCAAAGCATCATCAATCCTAATCAATCGCAGTCACCCTGTCCTTTCACAAAAACTTTCATCAGACATCTTTTCTCGGTAGGTAAGCTCTTGCTTTCAGTTTAACATTGATTTTAATGGGAACTATTTCTTGGCAAACAATTTTTCTCCAAGAAATTTCCGAATGGTAGTGTAATTAGTAACAAAACGTGTTTTCCTGCAGTTCTTTTGTGAGCAGCTGCATAAATTCGAGTAGGAGAAGTGCTTGATGCAAGTTGGTTAAGATTAACTGCTGTTCTTTATACAGATAAAAAGAGAACGTTGCCAGATTTCTGTCAACTACTTCTGGTGCAATTCTTTTATCAAGTTTTATGCTGACCAAGCGCTGTTTTCGCTATGCATCGTCTAACTATAGCTGCTTGTAGCCGTTGGACAATTGATGAGCGAATCGCAAAGCCCGTCAGCAAGCATACCTCCAGAATCGGACGATCTTGGCATTATTCAAGAAAGTGTTGTTCAGGACTCGTCCTCAGGAGTGGGATTCTCCCAAGCTGGATTTCTTTTCCGTCATCTTGATTCACTGGTGACGGCAATCTCTCAAAAGTACGACATTGAGAGACTTCAGGTTTATGTTGTTACTTCTTTTACGACTTCTGACTCATTCCATTTCTCCTAATCGGAAAACTGAAAGTACGAAGTGAAGATGTGTTTGGATGCCAAACGATATGTCCTTAGTTTGTGCTAATTATTTTTTTTCTAGAATTAGTTAGGGTTTTCTCTAGGTATTAGTTAAGTAGGGAAAATAGATAGTAAGGGAAATATCAGTTATTGAATTAGGTTCCTAACAAGATCCACTGGTTGGCGGGTTGTGGACATAACTTCGACCTCGGACGGGACTCGAACCTGTACTTAGCGCCCGGATAGCACGAGTACGGATATGAGTCCTGTACGAGGTCGAAGCTGGTCCACAACTCGCCATACTAAATACTGTTATCTTTCCTGAGACCTTCGATAGATTTTGAACCATCAATAATTTCTTCAGTATTTCCCATTTATCTTTTCCTCTAACACCTCTTCTGAACAACTTAATATCTGTGGCTGAATAGCCCACTACAACAATTGGGACTCAGTAACTGGACAGGCAGTCCACCATATCTAGTTTGTCTTTCATAACGAAACGATAATTGTTGTTCTGACTTAAAGTTTGAGCTGTTTCAGCTGTCGCGATTTCTCAACCAGTGTTTGATTTAAGCGGATAGTGTGTGATCCGATTGTAAGTAAAAGAGGTTTCTTGGGGGTGGGGCAGCTTAGAAGCCATATATCATTGGTTTTTGTACGGTGTCCTCAACTTCACTTATTATTCTCGTAAAAAACGAATTACTATGTAGAATAGACTTTCTTCAAATTTCATTAACCTACTGACGACCTCGTGGCCCGTCATCGGGCCACACCATGCCGTGCTCCTGTAGTATTTATATTATTTATCAAGTGTGCTTATGATTTTTTTCATGTTTCAAGTATCAGCTGAGCTCACAGCCTTCTAGAGAATCTTGAGGCATCTTGGTGCAGGAATCATTCATTTCCACTACAGTTATAAGGAACTAAAAATTAATATAGGGACAATGTAAAGGGCTCGGTCGCTGCTGGGTTAATGCAGTCACGCACGATAGCTCTCATGCACGTGATCGTTCGAAATTTCAAAGTATCAGAATGACTTGTGCTGGAAGGATGTTGAAAGTGTACCGGCCGCGGGAAACGTATGTCAGTGACTGAGTTGAACAAAAACTCGTTCGATCACATTAACCTTTCCAACGCAAGAGTTGTTCCTGATCAGGCGAATGATCTCAGCTCAATTGTGCATGTCACTGTATATCATTGATATTTGAGCAAAGGCCTTTGAAGCCTTCTAGAATTGAATTGGAAAACCTAATGCATTGGATGCATGCATTTTAATTATGTTTGCTCAAATTTGTTTTACAGGTTGGACTCGGCTTGCTTCTTCTAATCCTGCTCGTCTTTTTCTGTTTGTGCATAGCAGTTGTTTGGAGATACTACTCACCTGTAATCATCAGCTACACTATTAAAGAGCAAGAGGAACGAGCTCGTAAAACTAGTGAAAGAGAGAAACAAGAAAAGGAAAAGAGTGAGTTAGCTTTTGCTGCCCACCCTGTTGTTTACTTTATTCTTTCCATAAAAGAAGGCCAACTCACGTACAGCGATAAGTGTGCTTAAAGCCTGCACTTTCGGACCAATATGCATTCACAGTTCACTAGACCTGTGCTATTTTCAATTGCAAACAGGGTATGGCCTTCTCTTTTCGCTACAATCGCTTGTTGATTCTATCTTAAGTTCTCCTATGTTGTATGCATTATGAGAAAACTGGTCGGATCGCCTGGCTAACGCCGGACCGGGTAAATTGACCTGCCCACCACGTCCCTCCCAAATTTGAACGCGCCGGTGCAGGAGAACAAGAATTAGAAGCTTCCGGACAAACACACACTCTTTGTGAGCACCCTGCTCGTCATGAGCGGGATTCTGCTCAACTCATGTGTGTTTAGGTGACTTGGTTCATTCCACTCTTCTTTTGTCTTCAGTCGTTTCACCTGCCATCAGCGTTCCAGTATTGCTGCCCGTACCCTTATCTAAACTGAACGATTTAGGTCCAACCTAACAATTTTAGCGCATGCCCCGCCCTATTAAGGAAGTTCCTGTCCTGCCATCTTCCATCAGTGTTTCAATCAGAGTGTCCTCTCGCCTGTACTTTTACCAAATTTGAATGCAGGATCATGGGAACAAGAGTTTCCAGTCGAAGATACACCGACACACACACAGGTCTATCATCACTCATTCCCTTCTCTCCTCGAAAAAATGAGTGGTGAAAAGCAGCCTTGATCGAGTAACACAAATCGAAACTGTTCAAAATCGGTTGCGATTATCGCTCGCTGCATTTAGTTTTGTATATTCCCTCCGCATCTCTTCAACTTCCTCCGAGTTGTAACACTGTACTACTGAAGCGAACAAAGTGGCCACTGATCGGTAAATTCCGCAACAGATAGGTGTAGCAAATCGTATATCGACCAGCATTTGCATTTCCACATCGTGAATGCTAACACACGCGAATCCCCCTCGTCTGAAGTGAGCAAAGCTGTGAATTAATGGTGCATAATTTTCAAAGCTATTGAACAGAATTGTCGGCTTCGGATTTTACACTCTCCTCTTAGTCCAGTCCTGCAGCCTGTGTCTTTTCTTAATTTGAGCTTGAGGAGCACTTTTCTTCGACACCCTTCCTGCAGTGGACCGTCTCCTGTTCTGTCGCCTGCCGTCAGTATTCTCATCTTGCTGCTGCCTCCCTTCAAATTTGAACGCTTTGCTTTGAACTGGCAGTATTCGTGCATGCCGCCCCGGTTGAGCGGACAGGAACATGATGCACGGGAACACTAATCATGTCTTTCGTTAAACCCACTCTTATTGCACGTCGATCCGAACCTACCTCAAAGTATGTATTCCCAAGTAGCCCCATCCATTCCTCATTTCTTTTAACCTGGCTAGTCTTTTTCACTTTTATCTCAAGTAGGCACCATATAAGGCGATTATAAAGAGATCAAGAGACAAACAGGCCAACAAACATGCGGACATTCAGGGTTTATATTATTAGGTTGATGCATAATTGTTGCAGATTTTTTCGCGGCTTCTTTTCTCTCGATACAGTTTGAACATTGATTTCGGAATATATTAGAAATAATCTCCTTACTTTCCTTAACAGAAATATGTCCAGAAACTCATCTTCATATACCCTACATTATGCCATATTACTTCGAGAAAGTATGGAAGCTGGCGCAGTCATAACGTAATCTCAAAAAAACTTCTCGGCGATGGATCAGTCAACCAATACCGCATGAAGAATGGAAACTGCTTCTACGTTAGCCCCATTCACGAAAAGAAACTTCTATGGATTATCACGTCAATCGGCAAGCGAACAGAACTTTCGAATGGTTGACTTGATGGCCGACGTCAAGGGGTGGATGCCTCCAAGAATCGAAACATTTTCGCCTGTGGAATTTGACTGCCTAGCAAATGAGTAGCATTGCTTGGCGTAGATGGTGTATATGTTCCGTAGTAATTATTTGAACATGTTTTTGCTAAATATTTCTATATTTTCTCTAGGCAAAGCTTGCTGAAGAAAATCCGCAGCAATGATGCATCAACTTAATATTAACCGTTGCATATCGTTCAAGGACTTCTTCTAACCACTTTTTTCCGTGCTCTCAAACAATTAAAGCAGAGTCCCTAATTCTTGAATGTAGCTCCGCCCACCGCGAAACAAATCCCGCCTCTCTGGAGATTTGACCATTTCAGTAGCGTCTGACCACTTTTCCGCACTCCAAAACAAGTTGTTTCTAGTAAGTACGACCAGTCATTAATTTTCGACTGTAGTCCTGTCACCGCGTTTCAAACCTCTCCCCCTCTGAACCACATCCCTTCTACAGCGCCCAACTGCTTTTTCCTCGTGAAGCATTTTGAACGGAGGTATACGTACTGATTTGAGCTCGCCCATACCAGTGCAAATCTCGCTCACTTTGGAGAGACCACATTTTTCTATAGCCTCTGATCACATTTCCGTGTTGTAGAATTACTCGGAGAGAGTAATTAATCTGATATTAGCGCCGCTCATCCTAGTGTGAACCCTGCCCGTTTTGATGATTCGACTACATTTCGTCAGTGGCCTCTGACCATTTTTTTCTTCCGTGATCTAGAATCTTTTTGAATAGAGTGATGAATTTTTGATCTCGGCACCGCTTACCTCGGCGCAAATCCCGCCCAAGTTGGGCTTTTGGTAACACTTCGTCGATAGCCTCTGCCCATCTTTTTCCGCGTTCGAGGTTCTGGTAGTGCCGAAGAACTAGAGAAATCTAGTAGCCTCACCTTTCCTGGATAATGACTTTTTGTACAATTAGTTATTAATTACGTTCTTTAACATCACTCTTTCAAGAAAACGATTGAGAAATGGACGCCTTCAAAAATTTTCTCAAAAAGAAGAAGGTTGACAAGCATTTCAAACACTCTGGTTCTGGTCAACGACTCGATTCTGGTTCCAGTGCTAAACCAACAATAATCTCTGGAGCCGCACAGGTGTGTACATTCGGCAGCACTGTCCATATTTCTTGATATCTTGCGAAGTTCGTGCTGTCAATGTCACATTATCTCTAGGATATCAATCTTCTTGCAGGGCGGCGGAATAGATCGCGTAGCCGCTGCCGATGTTGCCGCACAAGCAGCTTTAAAACGTCTCTACAAAGCGGAGCCACAGATAAGCAGCAGTCAAAAAAAGATCCAAATGATTGTACGGCTTGTTTCCTTACTTTGTTTTCATAATTTTAAAACTGTTTCGGTGATCATGAACGATGGGGCATAAGTTTCTCCATAGTTGCAGTTGCGCTTAGAGCCATGTTCAGGCAGTAAGAATCAATGTACGTTTTACTCTTGGAGCTTTTGGATAGACAACACTATTGGAAGGTGTGAATTGTGTGAAACCCTATATAAAAATGATATACAACAGATCATTGTTGTGTGTCATCATAATCCGTGATCTGAGCCTCCCTTTTTCGATTTTGGTCTGTCATAGGGACAATGTGCTCAAACTTCCACAAATAATTTAAAAAACGTGTTTTCTGGGCATGGAATGGTTATAGATTTTTTCCGTAAAATACTCATCATTGGTCATTATTGTTTTGGATTTCGGAAAGTGTTACAATCCTGAGGTAGCAGGGGACCCATGTTCATGAGGAAGTGTACGTGGGTGTTCCGAATCAGGTTTAATTAGATAACAAGCCAATTGTATGGTTAGTAAATAAAAATGATGAAAGTTCCGAAAAGTTATTATTTTGATATTGCTCAGAGTTTCTTAGCCAGATTTCAGGCACAACGAGAACTTGAAGAAGAAAGACGTCGGCAAAAGGAACAAGAGCCCAGTTTATCAAATCTCCAGTTGGAGGAGAAGAGGTATGTTGTTGTGCAAAAAAATTCATTCATCTCAAGGAAGTCTCGCTGTGCTAAAGGAATAATCTTGAAATATCCAAGTTATATTACTTACCTGGATCTCCCTTCGCAACATATATTTTGTAGTTCTGGAACATTCATATAAAGGATTGGTTCTGTGAACGAGTGATTGAACTAGCGGTCTGCAGCATTTATTCCCGTTCCGCTGGAAGGGAGGCTCAGAAACATACATACAGTAGTGGAGGGAAACAAAGGAAATAGATCATGCGCTTGTGAAAAGACAGTCCCTCGGAACTGTATGGACATCAAAGCACTGCCTAGCAAAGATCTTGCTCCACGCACACGCCGTATTTAACAAGCATGGCAAGAAGTTTACCCAAGATGGCAAGGACGAAAACAAAGCGGAAATGCGGTGGTTGATGCGGTGGCGAGAGGAAAAAAGGCTTCGTCACTGGATTCTGGTCGTCAGAAACCGAAGGACAGAGGGAAGTGTGGCTCGAGAACGTTAAAGTTCAGCGAGTTATGGAGCTGAAGCATCTACAAGGGAGGGACGGTAGGACGGCAGAGAATGTGAGCTTCAGAAGAACTAGCTGCATTCAGGAAATGCAAAAGACTTGCATCCGCCACGGAAATACTGCCGTCC